TGTGCCACTTCGTGGCCAACCGCCAACTTCGGTTACACTCGACTTCTTTCGACATCCCAAACACACGGACATGGAAAACTTTCATTGTTGCAATCCCAGTGGCACAGGGAGAGGGTAAGATTTACCCACGATCTGACAGCACTGTAGTGTACCACTCCGGCGTGCCCGCCAACTTCGGTTACACTCGACTTCTTTCGACATCCCAAACACACGACATGGATATCTTTCATTATGTGCAATCCCAGTGGCACAGGGAGAGGGTAAGATTTACCCACGTTCTGGCAGCACAGCTTTAGTTCGTCTGATTGACACAGGGGCGTAAAATTATCGTACACACCGGAAAATTATCGTACGCACAGGGAAAATTTTGAATTTGTACAATTTGTCGCATTGGATTTTCAAATTCTGAAAAAATTGTCCAAGTTCCAACTTTTTCAAAGTTGATGACCTTTTAGTTTTCAAGTTCAAAAAACCTATCGTAAAAACGGTAAATACGGCGTACGACAGGGAGAAAGCCAGATCGTACAGAGATCGTACACAGATCGTACAGTGGTGGTTCTCGAGATTTCGAATCAAAATCGAAAAAACGCAAATCGCAAATCGCTTGTTGAACCCTAACTTACCCGTTTGCAAAATTTGATGACTAAAAAAAAAGAAAAAGGTCATCAAGTTTTGAAAATTCCTAATTGGACAGAAAATCGAAAATGATCGTACAGGCTGAATTTTGGATCGTACAAGGCTTTAAATTATCGTACGAATGGGATCGCTGAGCACCACCACCAGTGATCCCAGAGACTTTAGTTCGTCTGATTGACACAGGGGCGTAAAATTATCGTACGCCCCGGGAAAATTTGAAATCCGACAATTTCTCGGACGAGATTTTCAAAATGTGGAAAAAGTGTCCAAGTTCCAACTTTTTCAAAGTTGATGACCTTTTTTTTTTTTACTCACCAAGTTCAAAACCCTATCATAAAAACGATAAAAACGGTGGTCCGCAGGGACCTAGACTTGTTCGTACAGAGATCGTACACGGATCGTACACGAATCATACACGGATCGTACACGGATCGTGGTGGTGGTGGTGGTAGGGGTGGTGATGCACGATGCACCTTTCCAAAATTTGTTGACTAAAAGAAAAAAAAAAAGGTCATCAAGTTTTCGAAATTCCAAATGGATAGTACACCACGAATTTTGGATCGTACAGGGCCTCAAATTATCGTACGCGTACGATAATTATCGTATCGAATGGGATCACTCACCACCACGATCCGTGTACGGTCTGTGTACGATCTGTATATGAGCAAGTATTTCTCCGTTTTTACGATAGGATTTTGAAAATCTCGTCCGAGAAATTAACCTATCCATTAAATCGGATTTCAAATTTTTCCCGGGGCGTACGATAATTTTACGCCCCTGTGTCGATCAGACGAACTAAAGTCTCTGGGATCACTGCTTGCGATACATTACGATTGTCCTCCTTATATCTAGCCTCCATGGAAGAAAGGTTAGAAGAACAACTAAAGATTTAATAATTTGTGATTTTCGATATAACAATGATAAAGAGAAATAAACCTACATTGTCGTTTCTTTTGTTATAGGTAACTAATAATTAATAATTAAGTTTGTACATATCATATTTTTTATAATAAATAAAATATCTTTTGTTATACAACAAAATTTGGTTTACCCATAGAGAGAATAATTATCCCTTATATATGTATATATATATATATATATATATATATATATATATATATATTTTATGTAAATGTAAAATCACGAGTTCAAATTTAATTTTGTTGCAATGGTAAATAGAGATTTGATAAAAATAGATAGAAAATTTAATTGGAAAGTGCATCTGCGAATTGGACGGTTTATATGTCAGGCTATTGTATCACTTGATTCTATGATTATTATAGTTTTCTTCTTGTCACAGGTGATCATCTTTAGATTTAACCAAAAATCTTTGAGATTTTCTTTTATTTAAACATTCTGAATGACTAGTTTGTAAAATATATAATATGTATAAGTGCATTTCTGAAGACACACACATGTTCTTATACACTAAAAATTAAATATAATTATTTAAAATTTTATTACAATATAATTTTACTATATATACTGTCAAAAAATACTCTATTCTAGATAATTTTGGTTGCGCGAATAATGGACTTGTGAGTTTCTATTTACTTCTTTATTCTTTCCTTTTATGTAGGTACCGTACTTACCAATTGTCGATCAGTAAGTATCCATAAAATCATTATCTATTCTACTATCAACAACGTGTTGTTAGAATTTTTAAAACGATTCCTTTCATACTACTTTAGTCTATGGTTTATTTCGTACTTTAATTTGTTTGGTCAATACGAGAAATTTTATTAAAATAGATCATGTTTAAAATAGTGATACGTGCTATTATACCAAGGAAAGTGTCAAATGAAATATCAACTAAAACAACGTGTGACATTTTATCACGAAAACTTTCTGTTGATTATAAAAATAATTTCAGAGGTTATGGTAGTGTATATTCTACAAAACACATAAATAGAAATAATAATTTGTTTTATCATGTACCACTTTTCTTCTGTAGTTCAAACGTTGATCATATGAACTTAGAGTGAGTATACATATATATGTAAACTAATCAAAATCTATATTACCTTATAATTAAATTTTCATTTATACATTTGCAGCAAAAGTCTTACTCTTGTTGAGTTTGAAAAGATTTCAGATGCAACTCTTGAATCCTTGACTGAATATTTTGATGAATTGATAGAAGAAGCTGTAGAATTGGAAGATGCAGATGTTTCTTATGGAGTATGTGTTAAAGTTATTGATTAAAGTGGGGATTAAGCGTACAATAAGTCTGTGAAAAGAAAAAGATTTGTATTTTCTACAGTATTAATTGTAATACAATATTTATGTTTACATATTACACATTAACATATTAGTAGTAAAGTAATATAAATAAACACAAATTAATTATAATATTTTACAACTTATACTTAAATATTCGTCGATTGGGGTGAAATTTCACTGAGATATAAGTATTCGTACATCTTCTTTACAATTAATATAAATATAATTGTTAGCATTTCATAAAATTCCCCTTTTGGAAAATAACTGTATCTAATCTGTAATAATTGAAATGTAATAATTTACTAATCGAATAATATTCAAGTCTTGTAAGTTACAAAATACTATAATTAACTTTTTTTCATTTATATTACTCATTATTAATGTTAGTAACTATATATAGTTAGTAACTTAATATATATGTGTATTGTATTACAATCAATAATGTAGAAAATAGAAATGTTTTTTTTTTACAGACTTACTGTACGAAAACTTTTGTCCCCAAACTGTAAATAATGTAAGAAGAACATGTGAAATTGGTGCAAAAATAATTGCTGTGATTTTTAGATAATAAGTAAAATTATTATTTAATTTACTTATATCTTTAGATATAAGTAAAATTGTTATTTATAAAACTATTATCTAAAATTATAATCTAATTATTATCTAATTATCTATATAATAAGTAAAATTATTATTAAGGCAGTGAAGTTAGGGATAACAGTACAAAGTCCTAATAATAAGAAAAAGAAGAAGAAGAAGTAAAATTATAAAAACTGTAATGATTTTTTGCATCAATTTAAAATATATATATTGCTTAGTTGTTATTTTTATAATTACAAATATTTACTTTAGGACGGAGTACTGACCGTGAAATTTGGTAATCCATATGGTACATACGTTATAAATAGACAGACTCCAAACAGGCAAATTTGGCTTTCTTCTCCAACGTCTGGACCAAAACGTTACGATTTTGTAAAGGGTAAATGGGTCTATAAATACGATGATAAAACTTTACACGAGCTTTTAAATAATGAAGTATCAACTATTGTAAAAAAGGAAGTATCTTTTGACAAATGCTTTTACAGTGGTAAAGAATAGTATAATTATATCAGTATATATTGAAATACTTTTAATCACTTAAATACTTAAAACTGCCAATTTTAACCCTTTCATTTAATTATTTCAATGTAAATTTGTAAGGAATAATAATCGCAAAAGAGTTAAAAAAGATTTATTCAAAAAATAGATATGCCTAATAGAATATTATAAATACATTTAAATAATATTTTAGATAATTTGATGAACATATAAAAAAAAAACTAAATGTAAGTACCTTAAAAAGATATTGTAATTCTATTCCGTATTTTTTTTAGTTATTTATTGCATAGTATAATTTTAAATAATAATAATAATACACCTATTCAAGATACACTTACAAGATCTGATATAAAGTTGTACACTTTTTATTTATTGGAAATGTAAATATAATATATTATTAATAAATCGATTGAAATGTATTTTTCGATAAAGAAAAAGGATTTAATTTTCTGATAGATAACAACCATGGAGATTATGGAAGATGGGAGCTTAGTAGATCGCGTTAGAATTTTATTGCAACGGGACATGCAATATTATCAGGTAACGATTAAAACGAATCAATAATAGATCATTATTTTTATAATGTCTCATTTAGATAAATCACATTTATGGTAATTAACGAAATATGTGGTAGTACCCATTTATCATTTATTATTAGTCCTTTTAAATTTAATCAGCTAGCATCACATTTAAATATCGCACCATTATCATTCGGCAAACATTACTTACACGAATTACCACGAAATTCAAATTAATGCTGCTTATTATTGAAAATTAAATAATTTCAAATACGTGCGGTTAATGCTAACGAACTCGTTCATTTTCGGAAGCGTTGCATGCGATATAATTTTATTCAACGTGACAAAACTTTTCGAAAATGAGCTTACTTATTTTTTCTTATTTGCTTTATTTATATAAATATATTGCTGAAATTTTTAATAATAAAAAAAAATACTCTACAATATTATACATCCAACTGGTTTTATTTTTACACGTTTATAAATTTTGTGAAATGTGTGTGTGTGTATGTATGAGAGGATAAAGTACTGAATTTAAATCTAGTTACTTTGTAAAAAATAAAAAAGAAGTTGGATTTAAGTTTGACTATAAATTATTGATCGTAAAACATAGGATCACGTATATTTTAGCCAAAGCTTTGTCGCACAAAAGTTGTTTTGGCTTGTACGTTGAATATATAATGTATGCATTTTCGAGTCTAAACAACCCCTATGCCGTCTTTAACAAAGGTAGTGCACTCGGACGTAGAGCGTGTAATTAAATCAGCACGCTTGCCATCGTACGTTTAAATAAGCTACCCTTACCTTTATCCTAGTTCATATCTCGTTTATGTTCACAATTAATTGTAAGTCATTTAAGTTTTTATTGTTAACATTTATTAACGTTAAACGACCGAGATTGTTTAGATGGCTTTATGAATGCTATGATAAACAAACGTAACACACACGAAATAATATATTATATAATTGGACCAAGTTATGTATTATAGATGGACATTAATGAAAATGATCGAGCAAATAATTATTAGCCTTAAATTTTGATTCAAAATAATGATCATACAATTATAGAGACATTTAAAGTGTTGATTATAATTTGTATTAATTTGTGGATTACTTAATTCTTACATAATTTGATCCAAATAAATGATATAGAAATTCCAGCATTAAAAAAAGAACAAAAATAAAGAAATAGGATTTTTTTTCAACGATGAAATTTAAATGCAAAATGCAAATATACGCATGTTTAGGAGATGCAGACCGTGCTAAGGGAAGCTTTGTGCATTCGTGTTAGCGGTGGAAAGCTTGATTTTCCAAGGCATGCTTCATTCGCAGCAATTAAGATCGTTATGTGGTGGGAGGCTGAATTTCTGATCACTTTTAAACGGTCTTCGGGATTAAGTACCGTTAAATGTAAAAATTTAACGGAACTCGAGGCTAACGATGGTGTCGTTAAAAACGTTCAACCATCTGAATTTATACTTATGGTTGTTGATACGGCTGATCAATTGCTCGGTATATACGTAATATTTATTTATTTTACATTATTTTGTGTCCAATACATTCATTATATTCTATTATGAATAATTCGTTTTTTTTTTTATAAAAATGATCGTTTAACTTATGTATTTATTATCTCGAATAATATTAATTCGATTTAACAAATATGTAACAACAATCTTTGTTTACATTATAGAATATATTTTTTTAGAACATTTGCATACGTTGATACAGGAATGTTTAGATCATGCAGATTTGACCGTACTTACGGCTACTTTAGGAGCCGCATCATTGATACGAAATTGTCTTTGGTGTTACAATCAACATGTCAAAAATGTTGTCTCTCCAGGTTCAAGGTACTCCCTATCTTCATACTTTTGCTTTATCCTTAATACTTTAGATACACGACGTGTTAATACTTTCCTTATGCTTTTCTTTTTTTTTGTTCTTATTGTTTTATCAAATACCAAGCGAAAAAATAAATAATTGTTACAAATCTTATCACGAAATGGCGGAAGCTGTTGCCGAGAGGCTTCTTGATTTACATTGTCGTTTAATCTCTTTATACATACTCAATGAAGCTGATTCACTTGGTTGGAATAGTAATAAATCGTTTTTTGAAAGAGAAAGATGTTCATTTGTAATACAAATGTGGTGGCTTTATATGCAAGGTAACAATTAAAAATAAATAAAAAATAAAACAAGAAAGAAAATATCATATAAGTATAAAATCAAATTGTTTAAGGAACAAAAGCAGATTTATGGGAAACCGTACCACCGCAAATGGCTCAACGCGTATTCACGGGAATGTTAAACGAGTCTCTGTCAATCATCGTAACTCGATTCATTTATGTATGACTTAGAAAGAAAAAGAAAAAAAGAAATTGAATTTTGAATTTTATTGGGGTAATAATTAATTTTTCATTTTGATATACAACCCTCTTTTATATATTTTAGGGTCGACCTACGTTAGCTCGATCCGAACAATTTTGGACAGACGCTTTCAATGTACTATGTTGCACCGGATATCTAAGTTTAGCTGCTTGCACCGAAAGTGAAGAGATGATAGGTGTCAGATCTAATAAATTACCAACAATTATAAGGGATGTTCATGCCAAATGTAACGAGTTACTTGTTTGCCTTTTATTTCGTGGTACACCATTGGAAGATTTGTATCAAGTAAGATATTATATCCTACTTTAATATTATCATACTTTTTTTTTATCCTGAATAAGAAATTTTCTTCATAAATATATATATATTTCATTTATATATATGTAAATAATTAATTTCGAAAATTTGTGAAAAAAAAAATAGAATTGAAATTTATTAAGAATATCAATAACAATGTTACGAACAATGTTGATTATTTGTTAATTTAAATATTTAATAACATTTGTCAAGTATACTTACCAACTTTGAGTGGGTTTTAAAGGTTTATAATAAAACATAGAAACAATTTATTTTCGATCGAATTTCTTATAAGTTTTTAACGTTTTTCTTAAATTTCTAAGGCTTTTCGTAATGGATTAGAAAATTTACAAGTTTTGCAACCAAGACGTGGTCCTTCACCATGGGTACTTGTATGCATTCCACGTTTATTGGGTACATCAGATTTAGATGTACACGTAAAGGAATTATCAGAAGATAAAATCGTGATTATTGAATTGAATATTCTTAGAAATCAACCACAACCCAATTGGACACAATTAATGAAAGTAATGAACGAGTCTTCTTTGTTATTTAAAAAACAAAAACAAAAAAATTTTTGAATTTAATCAACCATAGAATATATTTTCTCAATTAGGTGTTGTCAATGAACAATAACGTGGTAGCAAAATTATTATTAAATACGTTGGTACGTAAATGCATCGGTTTTACTTCAGAAGAAGAAAATTTTACAATGACGAAAGTGAAATCAACTAACAACAAAGATGGAAATAATAAAAACGAAAAAATCAAGACAAATTGCGATGGATTTTTGTGCAGCGAGTCGAGTTGTAAAAAATTAGCAAAAATATCAACGAATTTAGGACTTTTCAGTTTGACATATATTCTTGCGGTTAGCGTTAATGAACCCGAAGATGTAATTATACCAGCTTTGAAGCAGGATCCTAATTGGGCTAATTATCTCGATAGGCAACAGGTATTCATCAAATATAACGAGCTCCTGAATTATTTTCTGATTATCGTTTAATTTTATATTCCTTTTTTTCCTTTCCTTTTCATTTCTTACCTTTTCATTACTTTCCTTTTCTTTTATCTTTCTTTCTTTTCGATTCAAAGGTTTGGAATCAATCGAGACCACCATGGTTAAACGCACTTTTGGTACCTTTAAAAACTATGATGCCAGCAATCGTAGATACCCTTTTGGATGCCGTCAAAGTACTTATTATCAATCAAATATGTATTGCTTACTATTATTAGGGTGAATTAAAAGTTCTTGCGTTTTTTATTTAATATTTTCAGAATAAATTTTTGCAAAAACATTTATATTTTTTGCAATATACATGCATATTTGCATTATGCAGTTTATAACACAATAAACGCACGAACTAATATTATTATCATTATTATTAGGTTGGGGAAAAAGTAATCCATTATTTTTTCGTTAGATGACTTTAGTTATCGATTTCTCGCAAAATATCAATCAAACAATTTCAAATTTATCCTTGCTAGAAAGGTGACATTTAGAGCTAAAAAAAATTCCTTTAC